CCACCTATCTGTATAACTCTTCTGTCGGCTCTAAGCCGTAAGCAATCTCTGCCTGATCAACTTAATCTTCTCGGTAGTCTTGAGTACAATGTCGAGTCCTAAAGCGGTTGTCTCGCTCACCTCAGTCTAACAGACAAGAGACCTACAAGGTCTACCATACAACGCCTCAAATAGAGCCATTTGAATACTCGCCTGATAACTGTTGTTATAGGAAAACTCAATAAGTGGAAGATGATCCTCCCAACTACCACCCAAGTCAAGTACACAGGCCCGAAGCATATCCTCCAAGATCTGGATGGTACGCTCTAACTGGCCGTCCATTTGTGGATGGAATGCCGTACTAAGGTGCAACGCTGAGCTAAATGCTGCTTGAAGTCCTTCCCAGAACTTCGAGGTGAACTTGGCATCCCTATCTGAAACAATAGCCACTGGAACTCCATGCAATCTTACAATCTCTTTCACATAAAGCACACCAAGTGCCTCTGCATCATCTATTGCCTTAATAGGCAAGAAGTAAGCTATCTTGGTCAATCTATCAATAATGAACCATATGGATTCATTTCCCCTCTGTGACCTAGGAAGACCTGTCAAAAAATCCATTGCAATTTCCTCCCATTTCCACTGCGCTACCGGCAATGGCTGCAGTAAACCAGCTGGTCTCTGGTGCTCGGCCTTCACTTGCTGACAGGTAAGGCACTTAGCCATAAACTGTGCAACGTTCTTCTTCATTCCATTCCACTAATACTGACGTCTTAGATTATGATACATTTTGGTACCACCTGGATGAACTGCAAAATGGGAAGTATGAAATTCTCGTAAAACATCGTCACGACAAACTGTGGGAACAACCAACAAACCTCTGAACCGCAGACCTTCATCTGCATGTAAGGTCCAATCCTTCACGGTCTCACCACTGGAGATCAAAGTGTGAATGGCATCTAAATCCGAATCCTGTCTCTATGACTCAATCACCCGTCTGACAAGAGTGGGTTGAGCCACGAGACTAAACAAGAAGGCTGACTCACTGCCATCATCATCATCATCAAAGCAATATATCCCATTTCAGCCAAATCTTCAAGCATCTTCCATTTCCGAATGGCTAAACTAGCCAAAGTCTCACAAGATTTCTGGCTTAAAGCATCAGCTACCACATTTGCCTTACTTGGATGATACTGCAAATCAAAGTTGTAGTCTTCCCAAACTCAACCCATCGCCTCTGTCTTTTGTTCAAGTCCTTTTGGGAGAAAAGGTACTTAAGACTCTTGTGATCCGAGAACACCTCAAATCTCTTACCATACAAATAGTGTCTCCAACATTTCAAGGCAAAAACGACTGCCGCTAGCTCTAAGTCATGAGTAGGGTAGTTATGCTTGTGAGTCTTCAACTGTCGAGACCCATAAGCCACTACTCTACCATTTTGCATCGGTACACAACCCAAACCATCACGTGAGGCATCACAATAGATCACGTAACCCAACCCACACTCAAGTATCACCAACACCGGAGCCGTAGTCAACTTTGTTTTCACACTATAACAAATTTGGTCTTTGTCGACAAAAACTATAGCAACAAGATGAATTTGTCGCAATAAAATGACCTTTTGTGACAAAAAGTAACTTTGTCGCCTTAAGCTAACTTTACTCGACAAAAACCAAATTTGTCACAAAAAGTTGTCGCAATATCCACCCAGGAATTTCCTTGCGCCATATGGTGGGAAAGGGTATGGCGAGAAAATTGATTTTTGTGACAAATATATTGTTGCAATTAATTACAATATAGTGACAAATATAGCTTTGTCGCGATTAACTAGCTTTTAGTGACAAATATAGCTTTGTCACAATTGGTGGCATTTTAACGACAAAAATTATTGTCGCTACAAACAACCTTCTAATGACAAATGATGCATTGTCACAAAAGGTGGAGTTATTGTGACAAATATAGCTTTGTCACAATTTGTGGCATTTTAACGACAAAAATTGTTCTCGCTACAAACAACCTTCTAGTAACAAATGGTACATTGTCGCAAAAGGTAGGGTTATTGTGACAAATATAGCTTTGTCACAATTTGTGGCATTTTAACGACAAAAATTGTTGTCGCTACAAACAACCTTCTAGTGACAAATGGTGCATTGTCGCAAAAAGTTGAGTTATTGTGACAAATATAACTTTGTCACAATTGGTGGCATTTAACGACAAAAATTATTGTCGCTACAAACAACCTTCTAGTGACAAATGATGCATTGTCGCAAAAGGTTAAGTTATTGTGACAAATATAGCTTTGTCACAATTGGTGGCATTTTAACGACAAAAATTGTTGTCGCTACAAACAACCTTCTAGTGACAAATGATGCATTGTCGCAAAATGTTGAGTTATTGTGACAAATATAGCTTTGTCACAATTGGTGGCATTTTAACGACAAAAATTATTGTCGCTACAAACAACCTTCTAGTGACAAATGATGCATTATCGCAAAAGGTCGAGTTATTGTGACAAATATTGCTTTGTCACAATTGATGGCATTTTAACGATAAAAATTGTTGTCACTACAAACAACCTTCTAGTGACAAATGATCCATTGTCGCAAAAGGTTGAGTTATTGTGACAAATATAGCTTTGTCACAATTGGTGGCATTTTAATGACAACAATTATTGTCGCTACAAACAACCTTCTAATGACAAATGATGCATTGTCGCAAAAGATTGAGTTATTGTGACAAAACTCACTTTGTCACAATTAATCGACTTTTTGTGACAAATTATTTGTCGCCTATTTCTATCTTTTAGCGACACTTTTAGCGACAAATGATATTTCGTCACAAAATAATAAATCTTGTCACAAATTAGCCTTCTGTCACCATATACTTGTTTGGGAAATAATAAGAAAAATTAAAACTTATCATAATGTATGTTTTTAATATATAAAAGTGTGTGTATATATATAAATATATGGTAAAGTGCAAAAAATTCTCTGAACTATGCTTGAATTTGTAAATAACCACCTTAAATTATATTTTGTGCCTAATATTACCTATTGCCAAAAATGCCCCAAAGCTCTAATAATAAGTTAATCATTTTATAAAATGGTAGTTATAAATATTTTTTTTTAATAATAAATTAATTATAATAATAAAGTTAAAAAGGTAATTTATATAATTCATATTTAAATTTAAATAAGAGAATATATATATATATATATATATATATATATATATATATATATACAATTTTTCAAGGTTTGAGGCCCTTTAAGATCAAAGTCGACCGAATCGAACAGTTAAGTTATATATATGTATATGTATCAAATTATATATATAGTATGGAGAAATATAATTCTATAGTGGCTAAATATTGTAAAATGAATTAGAAGTTCTGAATATATTAACACTTTTGAATGTATTAATTTATAATGTTCTAGAAGTGAATGTATTAGCAGTTCTGAATGTGTTGATTAACTTGGTTTATTGTTATGCATTTGAATTTTGAAATATGCATGAATATTTCTGTAATAGGAAAAATAAATAAATAAATAAAAGAGAAACTGTGGAATCGAACCGAACTGAACCTTGTTTCACAGTTTGATTCGGTTTGGTTCCTTTGGTCAAATGGTTTAGTTTGATTCTAAATTTTTTAAAACCGTTAGAAATAGTTTGGTTCCAAAAAACTCTTAAAACGGTCCAAACCGAAATGTATACACCCCTAATTGGATTTGTTTTTAGGAATATCCTAAAAGTAAAATAAATAAATAAATAAATAAATAAAAATTTACTTGAGAGAACTGTCTTTAATTGTTCTCTAAATTATTGAGAACTGTTTTCAGAATTACAAACCAAGCAAGCTCTATGGGTCTGCTTGGTTTGTAACTCTGAGAACAGTTTTCTGTTTTCAGAAAATTGAAAACAGAAAATTATACAAAAAATTCTACTTCGGAAAATTGAAAACAGAAAATTGTATAAAAAATTCTGCTCGGTTACGTATTCTGAGAACCGTTTTTTGAAAACTCAGTTATAAAATTCTTGTTTTCAGATAATTGTTTTTATAGTTCTCTAAAAACAGTTTTCTGTTCTCTGAGTTCTTGAGAATTGTTTTCAAAGTTACAAACCAAACATGTATATCTTTCTCTATATCTCTCTCTGGTCTTTGCAACTGCGAGAATCAAAAGTTCAAAACCCATATCAGCATACGCCGCATATCACTATATCAGATTGTCTTTAGTCTCTGCAACTTCTTTTCCATCAATGATCGCCTGTTGTTCAAGTGAACTGTATATGCCAATTTTTTTCTTTCTCACTGAACAAAGCATTGTTCAAAAATCATTATTTAAAAAACAAAACTATTTGTGTCATGGAATTTAATGTCCTAAACTAAAAAAATTATTTTTTACTTTAGATAAATTTTGAATTTTGTTTTTCTTATTTTTCGCATAATGGCCAAAGTTAAAACATAAATTTTATATTAATTAAATACATTATATAATTAATAATTAAAAAATTTAAACGTTACGGTCTCTATAAATACATTTATGAGTAATAACTAATAATTAAACTTTTCAAACATGCTTTCACTACAAGAAAAGTGGGTTTGATGTTAATAAAATTCTCGTAAAAAACTGTTTTCAAGGAAGTTTAAAGATTACCCACTCGTTAATAAATATATTTTTAAAGGAATTTTTTTTTTTTTTTTTTAATGGTAAAGTAAACACACACATACTTTGTTTTCAAGGAAGTTTAAAGATTACCCACTCGTTAATAAATATATTTTTAAAGGAATTTTTTTTTTTTTTTTAATGGTAAAGTAAACACACACATACTTTTTTGCCCACACCGTGACTCGAACCCCTTCTTCTTCTTTGAATATGGAAAGATTATACCATTGGGCAAAAGACCTTTTGGTATTAAGGGAGGATTTTCCTCCGTGAATATGAAAATAAAAAAGAAATTAAAAATCCCGCCCACTTATTTTTCACTCCCGCGCGAAGCTCCATTAGTCAGACAAAAGCTAGCCCACACGTACACACGCGCGCGCATGCACAAAATACACTCACTACCTCTTTCATTCCCATAACACCTAGCTCTAAGGAAGAAGAGGAACATCAAGCTGTACTTCCCAATCTGTCCCGAAAGAAATTAGACGGTACATGATCATGAGGAAGAAGACGACATCAAGCATGTAGAATTGGTGAGCCACATCGAAGCTTCTAGCCGAAAGTAGAATCCCTACCCTAACAATTGAATCTTACCCATACTTGGTCTCCAAAAATGCCCTAATCCTTTTCTTTCTTCCATTATTTCTATTAAGGAGGCAAGATCATTTACCCCATCTGGGCTTGAAGTCGGAGAGTGGAGCGATCTCAACCAATTTCGACTCTCTAAACTTGAGGATCCAGATTTACCTTCATTCTTCAGGTAATCTGCAATCCCTCTTTCTCAAACATTTTAAGGGTTTTCTTCAATCCCTATTTCTTAAAAATTTTTAGGGCTAACACATCCATATTTTTTTTCTCTGGTTTATTGTCGATTTTATAGGCTGAATTTGCTTTGGTTGTGACTGGATTTGGGTTGGGTTTTTTTTTTTTTTTTTTTTTTTTCATTTCATTATTGATTGCGTTTCGCTTCTATTTACATTCACGTAATATATATATCCTTCTTTGCTTGAATCGGAAATTAATTCGAAGCCTCGGTGTATCGCTCTCTTTGTCGAGCCTTCTCCCTTTTTGTGAGTGTCTAATATTTGCTTCTTAATATATGTGTTGTTACATTGTGGCACTTGATAAAATATATATAATCTTTAGTTATGACAATTATGGTTTGTTTTGGATGGTTGGTACGAGAGAAGAATGGTATGCTGATTGTCTATTTTCAGAAATACAGTAGTTTATTTTCTGTATTTATATGTTTTTCGCAATGTGAAAAATGTATCTTTCTGTTTGTACTGAAACTTATGCATAAGCAACAAGTAACATATCCTGATGTTTAGATGGGGCTTGGGGTTTTACTCGATTCCTCAGCCTCAGGCTCATAATGCTCATTGGAAACTATCGTGTGCTTTATGATGATTTGTACTGTTTCTAATCCCTGCTTTATGATGATTTTTTGTACTATTCCTAATCCTTCTTAAAATGTATTCACTAGAAAAAACTTGATCCGCTAGAGGCTTATATACCTGCTGTTATATTGTCTCAGTTGCAGTTTAAGGATTTAGGTAATGACTACTCCTTTGCTTCACCAGTTTCTTGCTTAATGGACTTCTCAATTTAGGGTTCAGTGCTGAATATGAGATGTTTTATGTTATTGTATCATATTATATAGGGAGTATTTTTTTTCATTTATGACTTATGTCAATGCTTCATCATGCGTATGGGGTGCACTCAAATTACTATGTTATAGGAATTTGTATATGAGAATTTAATGATTGATAGTCACGAGGCATGATGCCCTGATTGGAGGATCTGGTTGGCAGTGTTAGCATGTCATATTTACTCCTACCATTGTCAGAGGAGAATAATTAGTGAATTAGCTCTTCACTTCCGTAAACAAATTTATATGATCCTTTCCTCCAAATAAACGGCTGCTATTTATCCAACATTTTTTTTTTTTGGTGAGTTTTTTTATGTTGAGATGATGCAGAGAAGGAGACTGTCAGTTTTTAACTTGTTTTTGTGCTCCTCACTTAAAAAATCCAATGTTTGCCTTTTTTCCCTTCAATTATTTCATGTAAGTTCCAATATGTTACATGTGATCTCTATCACATTTCATGTAAGAGATGCAAGTTTATTTGAGATTTCTAGATAACATGAACAATTTGCTTGATCCCTCTGTTCTGTTATAGGGAAAACTCTGGAAGTTAATCAACCACAATATGTTGCCTGCCTGAGTATATTACGCTCTGGCCTGCAGCGTCCCTTCGTGTAAATATTCGTGCAGTAAGTTGATGTTTTCATGAAACTACTCTTTCCATTCTCTCCATTCGTACTTTATGGTAACAAGAGTGAAATTAAATTTTCTAATAGTCACTTGTAACTGATAGAATAGCTCTTTATGATAACTTTGGTGGATATAAGGTGCATATTTGATCATTCATTTCAGAAAACCACATCATGATATGATACTTCATTTTTGAAGCATTTTGAGGTGCATATTTGATAGTAAGTTGATATTGGTTCTATGTAAATTGACCGAGAGTGGGGGAGAACAGGTTCATTTTTCTCAATTGCTTGTTTTAAAAAATCTAAGTTATTATTTGTTAATTAATAAACACACACGCAAGAAAAGTAAAAAGTGCAATAAAATGTATAGACGGAGACACCATAGTTTTTAATATGGAAAACTAGATTGGAAGAAGGCATGGTGACTTCACTGTCTCAAGGAAAAAATATCCATTATCTCTGGAAAAGAGTATAATGAGTTCCACTCACTTTCGAAATGCTTCAAGCTTTTAACTCCAGTATATTTGAAATCACTTGCCATTTATTTACCTCTGACGCCCAGTTCTCTCCATGTCCACTGCCTTCAGAATTACCAACAATACCACATTGATTCATACCAATGTAATCACCTCATGATGATCCACTTTTCTATGTGGTTGTCCAAACAAACTTACTATTAAACTTTGGAAGATGTCTTTTTACTTGTTGACTGATGAATCCAATGTATGCTCAATGTCACATAATCTATAACTCAAGTGTGCAAAGAATAACTTAGAGCTTAAACAGAACACTTAGCTCTCAAAAAGCTTAATTTTCTTCCAATTATGCAAAACTTAATTTCAATAATGAAAAGCATGTATATATAGGTTTTGGGTCAATCATGATAGAATTAGGCTTAGAAAAATATTAGAATACATCTCCTGAAGTTCCATTGAAAGCCAAGTTACAACACGAAAACACCCAATCAAAAAAAGATCAAAAGAATTCCAAAAGAAATAAACAAATAAAAAAGAAAAAAAAAAAAAAAGAAAAAAAAAAGAAAAAGAAAAAGAGATGCACATCAAAGCAAAAAAATAAGTAAATGGGTATAAAAGAATGACCTATTTTGTAGATATTCATGAAAACAATTTTAGCCAATTTCTAGATTCTCCCAAATCTCTTTTGCAATTTCTAGACTTCATAGAAGGTTTTAGAATTATTTGAACTACTATAGATTCTCTCAAACAATAGTGGATTTAGTGTATTTTATAGGTATAATTTGAGTACATGTCTCAAGGATAAGACTTGCTATCACTAGTACATCAGTTGGAGTCTTTAAGAGTATATCACTTTAGTTTAGAGTCTTTAGACAACCTCAAAGTTTCGATGGGTCACAAATCTCTAGACAGCAATTTACTAACACTGATATATTTCGTTCCAAATTTGGTGTGTCTATTTGGGCTGAAATTTGAATCGCATATCAAAAAGTCAAAACTAATTGTGGAGACCTCCTACAAGAAGGGTGGAAATTACTACACAATCATTAAAAATGACTCAAATGAAGTTTAGGTGATGAGATAAATTAATTGAATTGTGTTTAGGTCATCTATATTATTTGTCTATTTATATTAATATATATATGATGATGTTAATTGTTTCATGGCATCTTGTGTATCTCTTATAACTATATGAAAATGGACTTTTTGTTTTTATATATATGTCATTCTCATTATAAGAGCAGAGGAGGAGGAAATTGAAGAGGAAAAAAGATAGCCAAATTTCAGCATTCGTGGTCCCACAAAAGTAAGTAAAAATCACATTTATTTAATTTTTTTTTTGATGCCTTATATTAACTTGTAATGGTTTGTTTTCTTTTCTTATTTTTCATGTGTAGTCCATAAATTCGTCCAAAATGGGTCCAAAAAAAAGGAGGACGGGAGAGAAATGCTACTGTGACTACATTAAGGAATCAAGGAAATAATGGAAGCTTTAGCCTTATATAATATATGTGTAAATTCACCCCCATGTGTCCAGGTGAGTTTGTGACCTTACCTCTTCACAACTAAAGACTTAATATATGACTATATATACTAGCATTGGCTAGCAAGTTGATTGACCCAAGCTTGTTAAGTAAGCTAAAACAATAAATAATACTATATGCAAATATGTGAGACTAATTTGATTAGGTTTGTGTGTTGCTGGCAACAATATATACACATGGAAGTTTTAGCCACTTAAATGCATAATAATTATTTATCTAAATACTTGAAAACAATCAGCTCACTTTAATGAGTAATAATTTACTCATTAAAAGCACACACAAACACACTTTAGTAAAGAACTCACAAAATCTTAAAATTTATTGTAAAAAATATTCAAAATTTTGATCAAAGTATCTAACATTTTTAATTACCGTAACTCCAAGCCCATTGTTATGGTTTATTCCTCTTTTTGTCTTAATTTTTCAAAAGACAAAACACAAGATATGCTAGTCTTTTACTTCTCTTTAGACTATTTTTAAATTCTTATTAGGACAAGGAGCCGAGCATGGCTTATATCATCCTTATCATCACATGGTTCTTTGTAAAGAGGCCTATTGTTGGACTTTTGCTAGCAAAGAATTAAACTAATGAAAATGATCCCAAAGGCACAGTAATCCTGACTTAATCCTTTCATTTGTAGTTTCTTCTTTGTTCTCGAAGCAGTGACCTCTCATTGTACCATCTAGCCCTCTCATTCTACCATCTAGCAGCAGCTTACTGATGCATTGGTTTGGGCTCCCTTTGGATTGCTTTATTGGTTCAGTTTCCATTCATAATATCAGACTTTAAAATAATAATAACAACAATAATGATAAAAAAATTAATAATAAACTTCCTAGTAATAAAATTTGCATTGCATTTTGAGGTAATCACCGTAATCTACATCTTATTTCAGCAAAACAAATTTTTTTTTCTATACTTCTCTTTTTTTTTTTTCGTTTTTTTTTTTTTTTTTTTGTCAATTATGTCTACAAGAAAATTTGAATCTGGGCATGAAAAAAGAAAGAAAAAAAAAAGAATCTGAATTGGATTGAATTGGATTACAAATCTGCAAAGATTGAATCTGAAATTTTTTTTTAGCAACATGAACTAGTGGTTTGTTCATATAGCTATTGAAAACACACATTACATCCCCACTGTTCTGCTCATGTGGTGATTCTGTGGACTAGTGGTTTGTTCATATAGCTATTGAAAACACACATTACATCTCCACTTTGAATTCATGTTCTAGTTTTTTAATTGCATAATTTTTAAGAAATAAAAATTCCTGGTTTGTTCATGTGGTGTTTTTTTTTTTTTTTTTTCCTATTCCTTTTATCTTTCTTATTCAATTTTGGACACTGCCTCATAAAAGCTCTGGTTTATTTATTATGTGCCCATAATCCAGCTCTCATTAAACTGTTCTTTTCTTAGAAGTCAAAAGGAAAATTTTCTTTTTAAAATTTCTTCTTCTTGCATTAGCATACTTATCTGATTTTAATTACTACACCTCTCTTTTTTGGCTTGTTGTCTTGTTGTATCAAGTTATGATGGTGTTGGCAGTGGCTTTATTCTCATAACAATATCACCATTGGTTTTAATTGGTATCATGTACCCCCTGAAAAATTTGTAAAGCTTTTCAGAAAATCGTTAACTTATTATTGCATTAGAAACCTTTCTGCATCTCTCTCTCTTGCAAAAATGCGTAGTGGGTTCTCACAATGTGTAATCACAATTTGATAACCTACATTACTGTGTTTAATTAATGGGACACGGCTATACCTTTAACAAGAAAGTAAGTGCATATTGGAACCTTGTTGAATTGATGATTCTGTTTTATTGGTTACCATGTGATAAAAGGATTTGCTTTTCAACTACTTATTTTCTGTTATTTATGTTCTTATTTTCCCGGAGCAATGAAATTAGGAGCAGAAGGATCAGAATCTCCATGATTCCAGTCTACAACAAAGGTCAGAGTATTCTTCTTTTTCATTGCTACTTGATAGGAAATTACGATTTATACGTTTGATTTTTTAAGAAAGTGAGAATGAAATATAAAATAACTTAAGATATGCTTGGTAAGATATATTTTTTATTTTATCTTCACTATCATGTTTAATCCACATGGTAGTCCATGGCAATGGATTCTATGCTTAAAAAGTTGAACATTTTTTTCCCTTGCAAATTGTGGGAAATGAAACTGAGAGCATATCACAATAAACTTAACATACAATACTCTAAAATATTAGGGCAAATCATGAAATTGAATATAGCATTACTCAATTATATAATTGCACATTTTAAATACTTTTTACTCTTGTTCAAGGGGGCCACGTGCCTTTAAGTGACCAATTTTGCGGTGTATAGGGGGTCACGTGCCTTAAGTGACCATTTTTTTTATTTATTATTGTGCATAAATGGAGGTCGGGAAATAGTTATGGATGGAGTTTGGTTTTCATTCATCGCATTTTAATATAGAATTAGAAGCAAGCATTAATTTGGGTTGACCTATAGGTAAGGCTTAAACATTGTACTCTAGCTCTGTGTAAGCTTAAAAATTAATACTATATAATTTTTTTCCCTTATTGGTCAATATCTTCAATACACTATTCTTCTACCAACTAATTACATTAATCTTTAAATTTTGAATTCCAACCTAATATTAAAGGCCCCAACCAAGTTGTTAGGGACCTAGCGTAAACTCATTTGATACAATAAACAGAGAAACGAAACCCATATCAAAAATAGATAAGGTAACCAGATCATGTATGCACCCATGAATCAAAGTGGAATAAATTGAAGGGAAAAAAAAAAAAAAAAAAACTTCATGGATTTCCATTTATCTCCACCAGCTTTACCAACCTAATCATAGAAAATAATGCATAATCACAACACAATTACAAAAAGAAAAAGGGAAGAAGAAAAAAAAAATGATTCAAAACATAAAAGTCAACAAAATTGAATTAAATTTGTAGATCTAAAGAGATGACAAATACATACAATTGAGACATATTTGTTGTTAGGGTGCTTCTCCTCTTCCTAAATTCCTCCCTAAATTCACCAAAATTGAAAGAAAACATTTTTAAAAACGCCAAATAGTTGATTATAAACTACGAATAGATTGAATGAAACAGTAATTCAAATGAAATTTTGAGATGTTAGGGCCAATTCTTGTACAAATCAGGATTTTGTTTTTTAAACACATCAGTAACATATTACTTCCACCGGGAGAGATATGTTGAATGTAGAAAATGAAACAAAGCTATATAAGAAATATTTATTGTGAAATCAATGTATAAATCGACAAGCAAACAATCTATAAAGGAGACAAGTTGGAAGATTAAAACAAAACCTGTCATGCCCCAAGACCATAGGGCGCAATTAATAAGGTTTAAACGAAAAATGGAACAACAATGCTCAACTAAATAAAAATTCTGTGCAGCGGTTATTCGAAAAATCATAGAAAATTCAATTTTTATCGGAACGAGGAAAAGTAAAATTATTTAGAAAGTAGACTTGGAATACAATGTGACTGAGCCATTTCCAAATGCTGGAAATACACTAGTGAAAGCAGTTTTTAGAAGGAAGAAGACTTTCACAGCTTATGCTGAAATCCAACTGCGTGCCGAACTTTGGCTTGCCTAGTTGTTTATGGAGCTGATAAAATTTTGCAGCCTTGTTTTTATAAACTAGACACATGAACTAGAAAGTTTCATAATTTAATGATGTCAGGAAGTCCATCAAATCATTTTCTCAAAATCAGTCCCCGAACTGTGATATAAAAAAAAAAAAAAAAAAAAAAAAAAAGAAAAGAAAAGAAAAGAAAAAAGAACTGGGCAGCAGATAGTCAATGTTTTTTTTATATAGAAAATACACACCTGTCCAAAAATTATCAAATTTTACAGAGAGACTTTAGACACAGAAGGGAACGTATGGTAAATATTTTGTAGCGTTTGAAGGACTACATCTCCTGATACAAATTCATTTCCAAGGAAGAACTAGAGAAATTTTAAAACAGAATTTTAGAAAACTCCCACGGTTGCAAGAGTTAAAGAGATTATATATATATATATATATATATCATTTTCTCCAACTGACCATAGATGATAACTTAACCCAAAACCGAGATAATGCAAGTTCCTTGACAACAAAAGGAGTATATAGCTCATAAGGTAGAACAGATTAAACACAAATCAATAGGGGGAACAATTATAAAAGATACTATATTTTTAAATCATTTATTGACAATATCTCCTCATAGATTTAACAACGGTAGGAGAACTACCTGAGTCGTCTACAAAAACACCATTTCTAAATCTATTTACAAAGAAAATACATTCATTACATACATGTATCTTGCTGGGGTTTTACAAAACAACGGTGCTATACATCACAAGCTTCACAAAATATAGGCTTCACAAAATAACAGGAACTTAAGAACTATGAATATACCAAGGACTTGTGAAATACATAAATCAATGGATGAATTCATCACAATATCTAGATTGTTCAATTTTAATTAAGTCTTTTCCTATGCTTAGGAATTGAATTACTTGATTTTCGATTTAATTTCTTTTTACCTGTTTCATGTGTTGCATTTCCGACATTAGTACATTCCTAATTGTTTTGAATTTATTTAAATGCATCGGAAATAGTTAAATTGTTTTTTACCTACTTTACATGATTTGATGACAACACCAATCAGCTAAGCAGCCATAATATAGCAATTGTGGTCATTCGTTTAGACCAAATATTAGGTTTGTCTAGTTCATTTTTTTTTATAATATAAAATTCCAATATTTGTTTAACGCACAATTTTTTTGAGTTCATCTTTAAAGAGTTAGAAAAACATATAATTTTAGAGAATACTAATTGTTAAGAAAAAAGAGACAAGTTGAAAGATGAAAACCAAACCAAAAAAGAATTATGAATATGGGCATTCAACTCGAACAAAGTAGTAAACATGAACATATCATCAGAATGTTGTTATAAGCATATGACAAAAAAAAAAAAAAAAAAAAAAAATCTTCAAAGAAAAAAAAAATGCTATGGGGAATAATAAGGCTAAAAACTCATAAAGATATTGTCTTCATCCAACTAATTGTTTCAACATCCAAAAATAATGGAAGGAAATTCATAGAGTATATTCTTGATTCAAAGAAATGATTACCCAATGGTTGAATGGAAAAATAGTGGAACGCCTGATTGTTTTCCAATGTGGACCTCACTAAGTTAACTGTCAGTGCATGAATGATTTGGAATTTTTATGGTCTTAGAGATGGTTTCTAGAAGAAATTAGAGTTGTTGAATTTGTATATAGTAGCCGATTGTAATAGTGAGTGCTGACAATGAGTTAGTGGGCTTACGGTGTAGGAATTTTTTTTCCACAAGGCATAGGAAGGGAATGATGTTAATTTAAATTCAATTTTGGCTCAACATTAACAATGCAACAAATAGGTCGTTATAATTAATATGTAGGTGTTTTTTTTTCTAAAAAAATTGAATAGGCAATTAAGTGACTTCCTCAAAACATGAGGCTTAAATTGGTACTTAACATAGCTTACTTTTTATGCATCTCATTAATTACAGGTTGTAAAAATTCTATTTTCTTGTAGTGTATTCTCACCAGGATATCAAGTTCTCTAAAATAATCTTTAAAATTTTATTTCAGTCTTCAAATTCTAATCTCATTCATTCTTATTCTTATTTATTTATTTATTTATTTTTTTGCAGGTTTCACATTGATTGCAATATAGCTCCCCTTTTGGATTCAGATTTCTTTTGAGATTTTGATGTCTATGCGATTAGCATTGTTTAATATTTGGATTTATAACATAACATTTTGATATGTGCTTGAATTATCGTTTTAGATAATTTGCACATTTTAATATCTAAATTCTTAATGGAATATGTGTTTTATCTTCTATGTTTGATTATCAAATATATTTATTTTGAGTGATGTGCTTGGATCTTGGTTTAGATTGTCTAGTTTATTAATATTTTAATTTACAGGTTCCAAATTTCAAATAGGTGAAAACAAAATTATATTATTGTATTAGTGGTAGATATATTATTTTGTCATAATATTTAACTCTTATAGTGACAACATATTTGTCATAACATGATAGATATATTGTAACAAAATATATCTTTTGTCACAATAAAGCAACATTTATAGTGACAAAATATTGTCGCAACATGGTATATATATTGCGATATTTATTTTGTCACAATATTTAACCTTATAGTGACAGTGTATTTGTCGTAACATAATATATATATTGTGACAAATAGTTTTGTCACAATAAAATATCTTATAGCAACAACTAATTTTGTCACAACATGTCCTTATATATTGTGACGAAATTTTTTGTCACAATAAAATTAGTTATATCGACAATAATTTTGTCACAACATGTCCTTATATATTGTGACGAAATTTTTGTCACAATAAAAGTAGCTTATACTGACAATAATTTTGTCACAACATGTTATATATATTGTGACAAACTTTTGTCACAATAAAGTAACTTGTAGTGACAATATTTTTGTCACAACATAAGATGTATATTGGGACAAGGTTTTGTCACAATAAAATAGTTTATAGCAACAATTTTTGTCACAAAAGATTATACATATAGTGACAAAAATTGCTTTCGTCACAAAATGGTAACAAACAGCGACAAATTTCATAGGTTTGGAGGTTTTAAGGCGACAATTTTTGAATATTTTACGACAAATATTGTCGCAATTTTTATTCATTTTGTGACAAAATATTTTGTCACAATATATCTCACCTCTAGTGACAAATCAACATTTGTCACAAAAAACATATCGTGACGGGCTTCTAGCGACAAACCGGTGACAATTTTTTTTTTTTTCGCGATAATCTTATCGCGACAAAATATGTACTTTTAGTGACAAATTTGTTTGTCGCCAAAGACCAAATTTGTTGTAGTGTCAACTCTTGAAAGGATGACTCACAGGCCTCATTCCATGCAAACTTGATCCCTTTCCGGGTCAATCTGGTCATAGGAGCTGCCAAACGGGAAAAATCCTTCACAAATCTCTGATAATAACTCGCTAGGCCAAGGAAACTCTGGATCTCAAAGACATTCTTGGGTAGCTCCCAACTCAAAACTGCCTCTATCTTTGAAGGATCAACTGAAACCCCACCTTCCGAGACAACATGTTCCAAATATTTCACCTCTTGTAGCCAAAACTCACACTTTTCATATTTGGCGTACAAACAGTGCTCACATAGAATCTACAACACTATACTCAAATGGATCTCGTGCTCTTCCCGAGTCCGTGAATACACAAGAATGTCACCCACGAAAACTACCATAAATTGATCCAAGTAATCGTAGAAGACATGGTTCATTAGATCAATGAATGTCGCTGGTGCGTTAGTCAAGCCAAAGGGCATAACAAGAAACTCATAATGTCCATACCGCGTACGGAAAGCAGTCTTTGGAATATCCTCCTTTCTAACCCGTAACTGATAATAGCCTGACCTCAAGTCAATCTTCGAAAAACAACTGGCTCCCCTCAACTGATCAAATAAATCATCTATCATTGGCAAAGGATACTTATTCTTGATGGTGGCATGATTCAACTTCCGGTAATCAATACACAACCTCAAAGAACCATCTTTTTTTTTAGCGAACAAGACTGGTGCACCCCACGGTGACACACTCGGTCGGATGAAGCCTTTCACTCTCAAATCATCAAGCTGTTTCTTCAATTCTTCCAATTCAATTGGTGCCATACGATACGGTGCCATACAGATTGGCGCGGTACCAGGCATCAAATCGATAGTAAATTCCACCTCTCGGTGTGGAGGTAACTCAGTCAAGTCCTCCGGAAACACTCTAGAAAATCACGCACAACCGCTGGATAATCAACCCCATAAAACTCAACGTCATCATCGGCGAAAAGGCTAGCCAAGAAGAACGCCTGCCGATCCCGACCCCTAACACCATAGAATGAATGAGTGAGAGGATCACACCGATCTCCCACAAAACAGAAACAATCCCCATCCAGGGTACACACTGAAACTCTACCCCTAAAACAATCAATGACAGCTCTGAAGGACGACAACCAGTCCATCCCAAGAATGACGTCAAATCCTGTCATCTCGAAAAGGATGAGATTGAACTCAAGAATACGTCCGGCAATTGTGATGGAACAACTCCTACAAACTCTACTAAGAGCAACTGAACCCCCGATAGGCGTGTCAACACAAAGCAGTCTGTCTAACTGACTGACCAACCCTAATGCCCATGCAAATGATGAAGCAATGAATGAATAGGAAGCACTAGAATCAAACAATATGCGAGCCCAAGAATAGGACACAAGAAACATACCCCTGACAACTGAAGGACTGAATGATGGCTCGGCTGGAGTGAGTGTAAACACACGACCCTAGGTCCTTTGCCCCTGAGAACCGCCTACCTGATAACCAGACTGCTGAGTGGGTGCACTCGAAGAAGCTCCCCTACCCGGTCGAGAACTCTGGGCTGACATGGCTGGCTGAGATGGTTGAGGTGGTGGTAGCGGTTGAAACCTTGACTGAACTGTGGCAGACTGCATCTGCCTCTGCTGTGAACCTCCACCTCTGCCCAAACCACTGCCGCACTGTGGACAATCTTTCACTCTATGGCCCTGCTAGCCACACCCGAAACATCCACCAGACCCCACCTAAATCTGAGTACACTGGGACTTGTGATGCCCTGACTGCCCACACTTGAAACAAATCACTTGAGCTACCTGAGCCTAAGTGCATTGGGACTTGTAATGTCCCGGCTGTCCGCATCTAAAACAAGTAACATTCGGTCTAGAAGACCCCATGGACACTGAAGCTGTGGGTGCGGATCTGACTGACTGCTGTCCCCTGAACCCTGACTGCTCATGCTTCTGCTTCTTACTTGATTGACCCTTGGAGAAGGCACTCATACCCCTATTGTGCTTGTAGGACTCCCTGATAGCCTTGCTGTCCTTGCTCTTAGCCTCAACTACTAAGGCCTCTCGCACTGCTTTTGCATACTCTGTCGGTTCTGAGGCAGCTACAATTGGCCTAATAGTAAGATCAAGGCCATCAATAAATTTCTCTATCTTCCCTTCCTCATCATTAGCAATCCCCGGTTCAAACCTCAAAAGCGATGTAAACTTATTTTCATACTCTGTAACTGTCATGTTTCCTTGCTTCAACCCATCAAACTCCTTCTTTAGTTCCCTCCGCTTAGACGCCGGAAAGTACTTCTCATAGTATAATTTCTTGAATGTATCATAAGTCATTGTGTCCAGATTATGGGTGTGAGAAACGGTCTTCCACCATATCTCAGCATCACCAATAAAATTGTAAGTGCCAATGTGATTTTTAACTTGTCCGTTGCCAAATTCATGGCATTAATATGCTTCTTCACCCTATCCATAAAACCATCTGTAACAAGCGGATCTGGACCGCCCTCAAACAAGGTCGGCATCAACTTCACAAACTTAGCAATATAATAAAGAGGATCATCTAACTCATTTATTTTTGGAGGTGGTGGTGGTGGTGGTGGCACAAACTATGACTATGACGCACCTGCCGGTCGAAATGCTTTGAAAAGAGCTGCCTCAACAGCCAATTGCAACTGTTCCTCATTTATCTGAAAAAGTGGATCAATGGTCCCCCTCGCTTGTCCCCTTTTTGGTGGGACCAAATCACGCAACAAGATATCTTCCCTAACTTGCTCCTGATCCCTTTCCATGGGATTGGAGCTAGAACTTTCCCCAGGATCCCTTCGTGTTGCCATGAAGCTATAAGAAAAAAGAAACGAATCAATAACGATGACACTAAAATACGCACGAGAATGGAGTCCTCACACGAGTGACTTGACAAGAATGGAAACACATAAGCATATAAGCATGCAATCACGTAAGCAATTAAGCAAGTAAACAGATAACTCAACTCCCCATGCAATCCTAGGTAGGTCTCTACCCGTCGTCCTATTGGTATTCGAACCATCGCTCTGATACTAAATTTGTAACGACCCGAAAAGATACCAAAATAATAATAAAATCTATAAAAATTTCGGTATGACCTCCGCAGAAAATGTCCCTCTATAACCTGTTGAAATACAAAAATAAATGCAATGGCCTCACTGGGCCTTAAAATCTAACCTATCATGTCCCAACGCACAATACAGATATTATATTACATTCCCAAAATGGTTACATACATACAAAAGTCTCGTTCCTCCATCTCATCTAAACAAGAAACACACTTTAGTTACATCAATTTACAGTCCAAAAATGTAGTTAGAATTTAAAAGTCCATAACTTACAACATTATACTAATTAATATTACAACATTATACTAAAGTCTCACAAGATAATCAATATTACATTTACAAAATAATAGAGTTCTAAGACGAAAGATAGCAAAAATAAAATACATCCCTAAGCTCGTCTAAACTTGTGGTGGATCGTCGTCTGCCACCTCTTTTCCATATCCTGAAAAATGTTAAAAATAATGGGGTGAGCATAAACTCAGTAGGAAGTGTCTAAGACACACTTCTTATGTCCCCGTGAATCCATAACAAGTATGTAACAAATATCAACCAAACACAAATTTACTACAATATCATGAAGTGCAATGTTATGCAAATGTCACTCCCCATTTCCGAAACAATTCCGTTTCAACAACCAAATCGTTAGTGCAGTCCGACCTAAGGCACCTCCATGGCTTCACGAAAGGAAGGTTGGTTAACTATCCACGACCATAAGGCACCTCCAAGGCGTCGCATCCGGCCTAGTTAACTCAACTACATTCCCTTCTAGACTACACCAACATCACGGACCACTAAGCGCCTCCTAGGTGTCTGGTTTTCGCAACACTTTTAGAAAATATTTTCCCCAAAATAATTTTATTTGTTCTAACAAATATTTTTCCCTCTTTCTCTTTTACAATGGATGCATGAATGTTTCATACTTCAAATCATCAATTTAACTATATGATTTCACACATTTCCATTTACATCATCCTCACAATTTAGTGAAAATTTCTAAGCATTCATTTATTTATTTTTTTATTGACCATAGCATCAATTTTTCAAAGCAATAAATAAATAAATACATAATCTTAGGGCATACAATATGTCAACACTAAGCATACTCATTCACCGTAATAAATCTAGTCATCTATATGATTTCAAATAACATATGGAACACATCTATTATTTTAGTTAATCATACTTACAATAACCACAAACTAGGTGATCAAAATTAGCATGCTTAGGATCAAATTTAAGGGGAAAATTTACAAAAAAACTAAGAAGTTGTAGATTAGAACACCCTTACCTCAATGGAAGTGAAAACCCCCAAAATCCCCAAATCCAAGCCCTAATTTCGGAATCCCTAGGCTTGGCCAAATGGTGATTGGCTCCTATCAAATTGAAGGCCTTGATGAGCTCTCCGACTTTGCTTCACAATGTTCTACCAAATTCCCAAAGGAAATAACTAGATCAAGGTTTGAAGTTGCAAAGAGAAAAAGAAAAATGAAAATGCCGAGAGCAGAATGGTTGCAGCAAGGAGAGAGAGAGAGAGAATAATGGAGTCGTGCAATGGCCTTATGGCCTTTTGTGTGTTTAAAACATGAGTGGGGCCCACTTACTTTTGCCTTTAAAAAAAAATCTAATAACACACACACACACACACACACACACACACACACACACACACACACACACACACACACATATATATATATATATATATATATATATATATATGAAACTATAAAATATTACAGTTGTTATATATAAGGGTTTTAAAACCCTTATTCAGACCTATCGATAACTTTCAAAAGGGGGTGAAACGTTCTAATTTTTCAGATCTCTCAAAGGGCACTAAGAAATTCTCAAAGGTTTTTAAAGTTTAATCTTCTAATTATGATATCAAAAATCTCTCTTTAATTCATGATTAATTTTGATTTCTACATGTTATTTATTATTTAAACTCAACAATATTATCTATCCTTTTTATTTGAATGATTTAGGATTTTAGTGTTCAACTAGACAAATAAGTGATTATGGAATCTACAGCAGAGTCACGCCCTTGTCAGTCCACTAGATGGTACTCTATATCAAAAATACAACACTTATATAATATTGATGGTACTCTATATCGAAAATACAACACTTATATAATATTTACTTAGATGATGCAATTTTTTTTTTTTTTGGATGGTAAAACAAACACACACACACTTTTTTGCCTACGCCTGAGCTCGAACCCCTCTCCTCTTCTTTGAAGATGAGGAGGTTATACCATTAGGCCAAAGGCCCCTTTGGTAGATGATGCAATATTTATATAACATATTAAATCTAGTTAGAACACCATAAACTTAAAATTATTTTAAATTAGAAAATTAACATATTTTCATAGGTAATAATGTAGATTTTAATAGTGTTTCATGTTTGATATAATGACATTGTATGGTGTTGTATGTGGACAATATTTTAATTTACCCTTTTACTCCGTCCTAGCGGTTGGCATCTGAATTGCGGGTCTTAGCCCATCAAATTACTCCGGTCTTGCATTTTATATATTGTTTATTTAATTTTTTTTTTTTTTTTGGGATAGTCCTATGTTTGTCAATCACATGATCTCCTAGATTTTTATTTATTTATTTATTTAATGATCCTGTTAGATTTTTTTTTTTTTTTTTGTTTTAAGTGGTGTTACCGGGGTTTTTAATTGCTCTGTTTGTCAATCACATGATCCTGTTAGATTTTTATTCTTTTTTAATTGGTATTATAACATGTTACAAACTCGCTGCAAAGAATTGACAAAATTGACAGAAAATAAAAAAATCACATATGTAATTCAACTTATAGTCAAATATATATATTTGTTACGAATTTGAGTTTGTTTGGAAGAATGAGATGGTCAGGTCCACTTATTATAAGAGAGATGTGGATAATATCTTAGTCCATCGACTACGTCCCTACATTTCCAAGTCTTGGCATGTTAATTGCCATCCTAGCCCATGGACCACTCCATGTCCCTAAATTTCCAAGTCTTGGCATCTTAGTTGCCGTCCTAGCCCATGGATTACTCCATCTCCCTACATTTCCAAGTCTTAATTCATTGTTTTATCAAAATCCTAACTTGATCGTCAAGTGTGGCGGCCAAGCTAAAAATCACAAAGAAAAAATTGAAAACATGTTTAATAAAAAATTAAAAGTGAAAGAAATTTAGTATAAATTATTAATTAAATTTTTTCTAATTTTAATTTTAAAGTTTGGATTCAATTCCAAACATAGTATATTAAATAATAAATTAATAATATAATTGTTGTTATTTAATAAAAATATATATATATCAGAAAATAGAAAATATGCAACGCCCGTACCCACTCTTTTTAGGAGACCCTGAATATAAATTGTGTATTTGATTCAATTTTTTGATAATAAATTTATACTTTTTAAGAATTAAAAAATAAAAATAAAATGTACAAAAATATGTTGGGTGAGTAGTTTTGTCTTGTGCAAACGAAATTAAAAAATACTATATAATAGAAATAAGAAACATGTTTTCAAATAGTAAACATGTCTTATGCAAACTTTTTTCTGTGTCGATTTTTGTTGATTGCAGCATGATTTCATATACAGTTTAGGACAATAGGTGGACCATTTTATCTGTTAATGTTAGAGAATTGCCTAGAGGAACAATAGTCAGACTTTTCGTAGTTGCACGATGACACATTCAGACCGTTCATGTAATATTGAATATGCCTATTGCACGAACCCATGCAGGCATCTTAGCCCGTCGATTGCTACTCCATGTCCCTGCATTTCCACGTCTTCGCATCTTACTTGCCATCTTAGCCCATCGATTACTCCATGTCCTTACATTTCCAATTAAGTCTTGACATCTTAATTCTTTAGTCAAGCCTTGCCATCTTACTCCATCAATCATGTATCGTCTAGTCTTGCTATGTTTGTCAATCATATGATGCTGTTAGAGATGTGTGTATATATATATATATATTGGTCTGTCTCACTCTAGCTCTATCTCAATTTTCAGTGTTTCTTTGAACAAAACAAACCCTAACACCCTGGAATACGAATTGCAGCAAAGACTAGAATCCTACTCCAAGATCCCCCAAAACAAAAAATAAAAATAAAAACAAAAACAAAAATAAAAATAAAAACAAAAACAAAAGAAATAGATCAAAAACTTATTGCAACAAAAGAGAATTCGAGTTACAATATGTGACAAACCCTAGAATTTTTTTAAGACGGAGCACC